AAAGAAAAAAAAAAAAAAAAAAAAAGTGAGGAGCCATGCTACTTAGCTACACAAAAATTATGATCATACATTATTACTTTGTGCATCTCCATCTTACATAATGTTTGATTGGAGAGAATAAAAAGTAGGGAGGTGGAGTTTTTTGTAATTTTTTTTGTTTGGTTCACTTATTAGGAGGGAAGAGAAGAGTAGCAAAATTCCTTCTAACCCAATTTTACATATTCATGAGATATATTTCCTCATTTAATATTTTATATATCTTAATTTTCTTTTGTTAGAAATTTGACAAGTGTATCAAATATGCAAGAAGTAAAACGAACTAAATTCAAGTATTGAATTCATAAGAACTTACACAATAACTAATTAATTAGGGTTCAATACTAATTAAGAAATATGAAAATTGAAGGTTATGTATTTTGCATAAAAGTAAAAATATCTTTTTATGATTTCAATTTCATAAAGAAAACAGAGTAATTTGTTTGTGAATTAAGATTAAAGGAGATTAGGGATTGATTTTACTAATCTTCTTTACATGCATCACTCAATTATTCAATTCATTACTCAAATTTTGTTAATCCAACAACTCATAATTGTATTTCAACTTTAATCTCTGATGTGAGAAATTCTAAATCACCTCTTTGAAACCATATGTGTCACTTGTTCTCTTAAGGTAGCTAATTTTCTCTCTCTACAAGTTATATGAATTTCTCTTTTCAAACCTTTTATGTCTATAGATATAGGGTTATATATCAAGATTACTCACTCAAATGACCAAGATGACTCATTTAAGTGAGCCTTTAAAATTTTTCATTGTTGTTCTTATTACATCTCGCTTAAGGGAGAGTGGCTTGCTTCAAGCGGGCCTTCATGTTTGTTCGTGTAACTTCTAATGTTGCTCACTTAAAGTGATAAATTGGCTCACTTAAGTGGATTTTAAACTTGGAAGTCTTGCATAAATGACAAAAGTGGTTCACTTAACCACTAAAAATATCATAATTATTTAATAAATATAATAAATATCATAAGTATATATATATATATATACATATATATATATATATAGAAAATATCATTATCTAATGTATTCATGTTTGTTCGTGTAACTTCTAATGTTGCTCACTTAAAGTGATAAATTGGCTCACTTAAGTGGATTTTAAACTTGGAAGTCTTGCATAAATGACAAAAGTGGTTCACTTAACCACTAAAAATATCATAATTATTTAATAAATATAATAAATATCATAAGTATATATATATATATATACATATATATATATATATAGAAAATATCATTATCTAATGTATTCATGTTTGTTCGTGTAACTTCTAATGTTGCTCACTTAAAGTGATAAATTGGCTCACTTAAGTGGATTTTAAACTTGGAAGTCTTGCATAAATGACAAAAGTGGTTCACTTAACCACTAAAAATATCATAATTATTTAATAAATATAATAAATATCATAAGTATATATATATATATATACATATATATATATATAGAAAATATCATTATCTAATGTATTTTCTATATCGAGTGTTATTTACACAACATACAAAGTGACGTGATGACATACTTGTAATTATGCTTAAATATTTTATGACAAGTGTTGACTTATCCATTATAAAATATGTTGGTTAATATTTGACTCTAACCTTTGTATGACAGGTATTGACTTACCCGTCATAGAAAGAAACATTATATGACGAGTAATGCACCACTTTCCATAAAAGTGTTCTTATCAGGGCTCACTAGTGTAAAATATAGAATTTAAGTCAAGATTTTCTCATCGGACATACAAATATGCGACATAAAAAAAAACGCAGTGACATTTTTGAAAATAAGTCCAACTTTATTACGTTGGACACCTATGTAGCCGATGTAAAATTTGAAATCTATGTCAGACAGAAGCTACAACCGACATAGATATCAAATTTTACGTCGGACCCATGTGTAGTCCGACATAAAAAGGTTTTTATATTCCTGGGCGCGTCTTCGTCTTCTTCTCGCGTGATCAGAAGCTAGGTTAATATTCGTGCTGGGCGATTTTCGATGAAGGCTTCTTCGAGTTCGTGGGAGCATTTGGAGTGGCGGCGAGTTCCGGCAAAGGCCTTCTCGTCATTGGCGAGTTCGTGGTGGGCGTTTCTAACCGATTAGATTTCGGTGAAGGGCGTTTTCCAGTGAAGGGCATTTTCTGGTGAAGGACATTTTCCGGTGAAGGTTAGTATTGGCTTCCTTCCATTGTCTATGCATAGTGAATGTATAAGGGTTTAGGGTGCATGGTAGGCAAATGATCAAAACTATTTTTTTTTTATTATCATGATATTATTTTTTCTTTATTGATATATTGTATAATTACTATTGATTAGTGATGGTTTGAAAATTTTGAAAGGATGCGGAATAAAACTAATATATCATTAGTTTTATATAGTTGATGCGGAATAAAATTTTGATATGTTGTTAGATAATTTATTTTAAAAAAAATATGAATAATTTTAAGTTTAACTAAATATTTATAAAAGTTTTATTTTTATTATTATGATTTATGAAACTCATTTTAAAATAAGTAACTAATATATGCTCAAAGTAAATAATGATAGATACTTTGTATTTATATTATGATTATAAAAAATAATTAATTTAAATAAATAAATAAAAATGATTGCAATGAATATAATGATTAACATAATTTTCCCTTGCTTCAAATCATTAGGATTTTTAGGTTTCTTTTTCTATCAATAAGAAAATTATAATGAGGATAGAGACAACTATTGGAAAGAAAATTAAATTTCATATTAATTAGAGATAAACAAAAATATATAATTTAATTTTCACTTTATAAGACAGTTTTGTAGAATCAAATTAGGCTTAAACTTACTATTTTTAAAATAGTATTGGAGTTATTATAAATTCACTCTAAAAGGTTAATTTTAAATTTGTTTAAGAAAATTATTTAATTTAATTTTAAATTTAATTTTGATCTTTATATTTTGATAATTAATTTTTTTTTATTGATCAATTTGATTATTCTAGAAACAATATTATTATTTTTAATTTTGAAATACAATTTTTAATATTTGCTTATAGAGATTTTGGCAAGATATAATTATTGTAATTACCCTCCCTCTGTATATGTTATTTTAGGGTTGTTTAGGATTTAGGGTTTAGGAATTAGTTGAGTTATGAATATTATTCAATGTTTTATTATTTGTTTTATTGTTATATTGTTATTATCTTTTTTACTTTATTTGTCTATTTAGTTAATTCGTTATTTTAATAATGAGAGTGTTATTTTTTCAAGGTTATGGCAGATTCGGGGTCTAGCAGTGTAAGGAGGGAAAGTAGATCTGTCACCCAATTGTATAGGTTGACAGTTGGACGCATTGCCAAAGAGAGGACACAGGTTGAGGTGAATCCTCATTCTAACAAGGCATCAGGCCCAAATGCTGCAAAGTTTAGGAGCTATTTGGGAGTCATAATAGCTCGACGTCATGTTTCTATTATCATTCCATCATGAGATGATGTTGAGGAGGCTGACAAGAATCTCATGTGGTAGGATATTCAGGTATGTACTTGCACATCCCTTCAATATTATTATATAACTTAATTATATTATTTATTATTTTTTTGTTATTTTGATAGAAAAATTTTGACATTCCCAACACTGAGATCATGAGGAAGAAGATGTTATCTGCCCTTGCCACCAGGTGGAGAGACTTCAAGACTTTCTTGACACGGGAGTATATATTTGGAAAGCGACAAAATGAGACTCCCTGTCTAAAGTACCATATTAGTGACGAGGAGTGGATGCAATTTCGTGCTAGTCGATTGGACCCTTCTTTGTAGGGTAGTTATTGATAATTCTTAAATAAACACAAATGCTTAAGGTATATTTTAATCTCATTTTCTTATTTGCATTATTGCAGGCAAAAATAGTAGCTATCCAAGAACGACAGAGCAAGAATGATGCACCCCATTTATTGTCAAAAGGGGGATATGAATTAAAATAAAATAAAAAACTCATGAAGGCTAGGGTAGAGGCATCAGGGGTTGAGTCTGGTGACCTTTTAGATCCACCTCCCCGCTATAAGCTGTGGATAACAGCTCGAACAAAATCAGATGGAAAAATGACTTTTGAGTCTGCAAGGGTCATTGCTGATAAAATAGTAAGTAAAAATATACATACTAACACTCTTAATTTCAACTCATTCAATTCATAAGTGTAGTTTAGGGCATACTTACTTATTGTTAATATGTTGTAGAAGGATTTAGTTGAGCAGGCTACCTAGGGCTCATTTGTTCCCCATGGTCGGGATGATATACTCACAACGACCATAGGAAGGTCAGAGCACCCAGGGCGTGTGCGTGATATTGGTGGTTCTTGAAGTCTCCGAGATTACTTTGGTGGAGCAATACTATTGACTCTTGCAATCAAGAGGCTATGCAGAGAATAGAGATGTAGTTTCAAGAAAAATTGAATAACATGCGACAAGAGTTTGAAGAGAAGTTTGAGATTCTTGCTCGTTCTTAGCAATAGACTGCAGTTTGAGATTTTTGTGTTATTTTTCTTGTTTTTACAACTTTTTTACATTGGTGTTCAAAAATCTCTGATGTAATATTATGTCAATTTTTAAACTCGACGTAAATTTACGTCTCTCGCATTCACGTCAGACTTTTTTTTGATGTAAAAAGCTCAAAATAACAAACGTAAAATACCTCTTTTGCACTAGTGGTTTATTCATGCTATTTATTCTTTCATCATCTTCTTCGAGTTTTAGGAAACACTTTCAGGTGACATGTTCAAGAAAGTTCCTTTGTCCAAACGATGCGCTCCTAGGTTCAACCACTACCTTTGTTTAGGTGA